CGTTTCATTAGAGAAGAACCCGTCCAGAAGACCTATACAATTTTTTTCTTTTTGATTTTTTACCTGGATTACTGAGATGCATCAGGACAACTTGTAGATATATTTTGGGAGTTGTCTACAAAGTGGAATAATATCTATAACAGTGATCAGGACAGTAAATCTGAAAACGCAAATAAAAAATGAGAAGTTCTGTGTGTTTTGATCAAAGTTACAAAGATTTAATTATGTAGTATTTGCAACATGACAGTTATTACAAGTATATTGATTAGGATGAACAAAAATACTGGTTTTTGATTGTTTATTACATAATGCACCAGATTATTACACCATCACATTTTGTAACAATTGCCGCAAAATGTAATAATATTATTACATAATGCGTTGAAGACTTTTATTACATTTTGCGTCTGTTCTGGACTAACTATTTATATCTGTTTCACCTTGACGCTGTCCAGTACTAATATCTATGATAACTACTTTCGGCTGTTTTAATCTGTTTGCCCCAGACGTAGAGACTCCAGCAATGCATGACCTCTCTTATTTTTGATAAGGTAGCTCTTGGGCGGAGAGCCCTGTTATTGGTTAGGTGGGTACATTTGTCGGACTGTGATTGGTTGTAAACTGTCACATGATGTTATCATGATGTTATATTATTGGCTGCTCTCCGCTGACGAGTCAGCCACAGCTCGACAGACTTCCTGATTGACTGTCTGCTTTGTTGTTGCTCAGAATTTAATCATTTGACGACCATACACGCAGAGTTTGTGCATTTATTCCAACGTGTTTCTGCATTCTTGGTAAAACTTGCCACGACACCGTCAATTATTACATAATGCAGTTTTAGCGTGAGTTTATTACATTTTGAAGCCTGATTTTATTACATTATTAAATAATGCATTATTACAAAATGAGGTCTTACAAGGCAGAACACTCATCATATTTTTTTAAGCGTTTTGGTTGCATATTTGGTTTGTTTTATGTTTGTGCAGAAGGAGTCTGACTGAAGGCACTGCTGTCTCCAGTCTTTGTTGAAGGATGAGTCAGGCACGTGATTCAGCGAGTGTCCAAGGAGCTCAGGGCTTAAAGAAATTGATTTCAGGGTCTGAGGCCTGTTTGTGATATAACATCTATCAGATATATCCTCCTGACAATTAATCCCACAGGTTTAGAGATGGACTTTTCTCTTGACGTTTAAAAAAAATGCTTGACATTGGATTGCCCGCCTTTTGGTGGTGGGTGAGTATCGTTTTGCCTGTATTCTCTGTTAGGAAAAATATTTCTGAAAAACGTTACTGATTCAGACATTAAGTAGTCGTTGAATGCAAATTTACAATGGATTGTTTTTTGTAGACAATTTGATCTAAGGTGGCTGCAATAGAGAAGCAGTCCTGGTAAACACAAACTTGGCTCTAACCCAGTTGATTTGAGAAGTGTGGTTCACGAGTCATCTCTAACATCTCATAATATTGTATGAAATCCTGCCAAGGAGGTTCTATAGAACTGGAGTGCGCAAAAAACACGTGACCATGTGATCGGCTGGTGAAGCTAACGGCTAACGCTAAATGGTCAAGAGTCTGGATTTCCCATTACTGTACATGTTGGTAACAGGGCAGAAAAAAAGGACTGACGATGTAGAAATCATTAAAACTATTAATAATAATATTAACCCAATTATTAATGTTTAACAGTTTATATAATCTGTCTAATGTTTTAAATAAGAGAAAAGCTGTTTGTGTTATGGATTTATTAACAGAAGATAAACAGGAAAACCAATGTTGTATGAAGTACCTCACAGCGATACTTCAGTAAAAGTACAAGTATCTTATCATAAAAATACTTTGGTAAAAGTTAAAGTCTTTTCTAAAAATATTACTTGAGTAAAAGTCTTAAAGTATCTGATATTTTTTGTACTTAAGTATCAAAAGTAAATTTCTCACACAAAATCTACTTAAGTATTAAAAGTAAAAGTACTGAGTAAAAGTGAGCAGTTAGATTTTACAAAATGACATTTATTGG